GTTCAATGTGTTCATCAGTGACCTGGAGGAAGGGACAGAGTGCACCCTCAGCAAGTTTGCGGATGATACTAAACTGGGAGGAGAGGCTAACACACCAGAAGGCTGTGCTGCCATTCAGAGGGACCTGGACAGGCCGGAGAGCTGGGCGGAGAGGAACCTCCTGAAGTTCAACAAAGGCAAGTGCAAGGCCCTGCAATGCCAATGGTGTCCTGGGTTGCATTAGGCAGAGTGTTGTCACAAGAGGTGATCCTCCCTCTACTCAGCCCTGGTGAGGCCTCACCTGGAGTACTGTGTCCAATTCTAGGCTCCCCAGTACAAGAGAGACATGGCACTGCTGGACCGAGTCCAGCGAAAGGCTACAAAGATGATTAGTAGCATTTCTCCTATGAGGAAAGGCTGGGAGAGCTGGGCCTGTTCAGCCTGGGGAAGAGAAGACTGAAAGGCGATCCCATCAATGTGTCCAAGTATGTGAAGGGAGGGTGTCAAGAGGATGGGACCAGACTCTCCTCAGTGGTGCCTAGTGACAGGACAAGAGGCAACGGGCACAAACACAGAAAGTTCCATCTGAACATAAGGAAAAACGTCTTTACTGTGAGGGTGACTGAGCACTGGCACAGGTTGCCCAGAGAGGTTGTGGAGTCTCCTCCGCTGGAGATATTCAAAACCCGCCTGGACGCGATCCTGTGCAATGTGCTCTAGAGGACCCTGCCTGAGTAGGGGGGTTGGACTAGACGACCTCCAGAGGTCCCTTCCAACCATGGCTGTTCTCTGATTCTGTGATTCTGTGAAATCTTGATTCATTTCCAAACCTATCATGATTATCTTATGTGACCTTTGACAAGATGTTTAATAAACCACAGTAAGAAACGTTGCTGAGGGGAGGGACAGAGTAGTAGTTTTTCTGGTCATACTAGTAATAGTGGTAAAGTATTCTGAACAATGAGAGATATTACAGATTATAGCACAAGACCAAAGGCCCACCAGAGTCTCACAAGAGCATGCTTGTTCATCAGCTGCTAGATTCTAGAGCAATATATCTACAGTATGATGTCTCTGTCAGCTACTTAGCTTGTACTAAGCTGAAAGAGAGTATTCAGAGGTCTATCTGCTTTTGGTATGGAAAACAAATTTAAATGAAAGATTTGTGAAATCTAAAATTTATTTTAGCAAGAGCTGATGTCTGTCATCGTTTGACTTTACCATATTTCGGTTCATTAATGTTATACTTGAGGAGCCAGGTCATACTGCGGTACAAGTGCTATTTCCTAAAGTACGATCTATTGTCTTGGCTTTGTCTTCTTTCCTTTGGATAGTTCTGCACTAAAATCTCCACTGTATAAACGCTTCGCTCAGCACCATCAGGCTTCAGACCTGAACAGCTCATTCTTTGTTCAGTGCCATGACAGGTGACTATTCCTCACTGTTCATTAGCTAGGTAGGAAGAATGGATGAAAGAAAGGAAACTCACCTCGTCTTCTGCTACAGTGAATGCCTCTTTGTCACAGGGAATCCTTATTAGCTAATTAAGAACCTTCATATACATTAGATCAATCATTCATTCATTGCACCAGCTTTCCACTTTTTCAATTGTATTTTTTCTGTAGGAGGCTGCAATGCTTACACACTGCTGAGGTGTATAGCTTTGCTTTGTCACTCTCTCAAATGCAGTTGCTTGTGTTAACTAAGAGTATCAATGTCAGATCAGCTTGCAGCACCTCTCCTTGCACTATGAGTGAAGCCCAGAGTCCAGAGGCAGATACAATTATGTCTTGGGCGATATGAAAGGGCACTTATGTGGCTCGTTATACAGAAAAAGATCAAGTTTTAAAATGTCATGTCATCTTTCAAGTTCTTCATGTCTTATATCTCCCTTGTGCTCATTCTAACTTAACTCCCATGAAACCAATTCCCTGTTGTGCTACAGACACAAACCAGCACCAAAACATCAAAATGTCTTTGGTCAAAGAGCAAGGATGCTGACTTAGAGAGCTAATCATGATGGCATGAATCCATGAGAATTTTGCCCCTGATTTCATCAGTGCCAGAACATGCTTCTTATTATGCATCTTTTGCATCTGGACGCTGAAGATCATACACTTTATTATAGCAGCAAAATAATAATACTTTTTAATATTTGGTTGTGTGTTATTGCTGCTGCTTGATCCTTTCTGCTTTGGGGAATATGGTCTGTCCTCATGTTCTGGATACTGAGTGAGCTCTTTCCTATCTTACTCAAATCAGTAACTTGTTTGCCTTATGCTTTCACTGAGTTATTTTCATTCAGCAAGTTATGAGATGATGTAAAATGTCATCCACATTAATTTGATGCCAATAGATAGCAAAATAGTTTATTCTACAGGAATCAGGTTTCTTCCTAGATTCTGAGTTCAAGAAAATGGTACATGAGGCTATCGTAATGCATTTAGGATTACATGTACTGAATATAATAACTATAAAGGAAATTCATATTGGTGCAGCTGCCTGCCTGCTTGCCCAGCATAAAAGGCATCAACAAGTTTATTAATTACAGAATGTATAAAATACCTGACGTGGTTCTGAGGGTGAAGTTTAGTCCATCCTCCTGTCTCAAAGTACAGACAGTCCTGATAAGTATTTGTTTAAGCAATTTTTAAAACATTGCAATGAAAAAATAATCTATTCCAATGTTTTATTATTCTTACAATTCAAAAATTCTTTCTCAGTGTCTACCGTGACACTCTTATTGTTGCATTTTAAGTCCATCCCTTCTCCTCCAGTCCATGATGGACTTGAAGAACAGATGATTCTCTTCCACTTGCCAGCAGCCTTTTATAGGTTTGAAGACTGTTTCTGCCTCAGACTCTCCAGATCAAATAAACCCGAGTAGGTTACACCGATAAGGAATATATGCTCAGGCTTGCTACCGAGCTACTAGATTCAGCAGCCCCTACCAGCTTAATAATCTGTAATTATTCTCACATATCTCTGCACCCATAGGAAAATGAGGTCAGCAGTCCCAAGGAACTTCTTAAAAAAAATCTTCTAGGTAGGTGATGCATACAGGCTTGGCTGCATTTGAACTAATCTTTACACAACATGAAAAGGAGAAATATAATTAAGGTAACAACTAGAAAACAAAAGCGTTTGTTATTGTTGACAGTTGTGACACTGATAGCATGCTAAAACTTTGTAACTTTGTTAAGTTACCTCTCTGACTGATTTTGTTCATAATCTTTAGACATAACTCTTAGGCACAAACCTTAGGGAACACAAACCTTAGGGAACACAAACCTTAAGCATAAACCTTAGACTAGGTCTGGGTTTTCTGACCTCTGCCTTGCAAGTTTTGCTAGGTTACGTTTCTGGGTGATTGTGTGATTGTGCATACACTCCTTAGACATAAACCATTGACCAAGTATGGGACTAGCATCGGATCCGCTCGGGTCCTTTCTGAACCTCATGACTCAACGGGAGGGCCTCCTTGACACATTCACCTGACCCTGTCCCCCAAGCAGTAAATAACCTGGGTGAATCTTGCCATTCGATCCTTGTTAAGCCACTGTCTTAATCACGATTGTACTGTTAAATCAATAAGAAATCATGATGGTACTCTGTTAAATCAATAAAATGTATTACTGCTTCTCTCCACCAAGTAAAGTGCATTCCTCCTCCTTGCTCCATCTGCGACAACATTTCTCTGACTTTGGTTTTGGAGAATACATGCCAGTGAATTAAAAGAGACAACAGAATTTTCCAGGTTGTCAATATATGTAAGGACTTCTGCCCAGCTCATATGCAAGAGGAGAAGGGAGGGAAGGACTGAACTAGTGGAAAGGAAGGAATGATAGTCCTGAACAACTAAGAGAAATAAAGCTAATTTAGTCTGTTATTGTTCTATTTCTTTTTATGCTTTCCTCTTCCTTTCCTCTTTCATGGATGTTGTGTTTGTGACTTTGTTCCCAAAATTAATTATGACTGTGGAAAATTTCTCGAACCCATTTCAGTTTTCTTAATTAATTTGAGGAAAAAAAGGGAATGCAAACTGCTGTTTTCAATCACTATACACGAATCAAAATAATTGAGAATTTACTGCAATTAGCACCCAGACAAACTGCATTAGTTTTAACTAAGTAGAGTTCAAAGGCCAGTGGAACAGCTTTTTGGAACAGAAAAAGATCATGGGATACCTATATGGTATAGTATTCAGAGTCTACAGTGCTAGGGCACTTAAGAAGGCAGCTAGCTGGTAATAGTTTTCATAGTGATTTGACCTTTTATATGACTGATACAACTTAATTAGCTTCTTCCTTCTAAGAACTACAGATTTATTTTCATTTTGTCTGAAGTTCTCATAATTGCATGATTTTAGCTGAAATGTTTAAAGACATTTTGTGTGATTTGTTGAATTTTTCAAGTACTATCCTATCTGAACTAAAATTTGATAAATATGAAAGTAAGCTAGCTTATACTACTCTGCAGCTGAAAATGTGTCATTCTTCAAGTTCTTTTCACTTATAATGCTGCAGAAGCTTTACTGCACATTCAGAGTGCACTTATAGTATTAATTACATATTTGTAGCATTAATTTTATAGTATTTATGCTATTAATTACATATTTTCAGAGAAATGTGGCAATCAATATTGACAATGATTTACTATACTTGACAAAAGAATGAAACATTTTGTTCATTTGCTGCAATATAATCCTTATATTTTGCTTGAATATCTACTTCAACAAGATGTACAAGGAATGTTTATATAAAAACTACTGAAAGACACTAAGAATATGTATTCAAAGTACTAGTAAACACAATCTGCATTAAAGTAAAAAAATCTTATTAGGTTTTGAAAAAAATGTTATGACATATTGTATGATTAACTTTTCAGCTTCAGAAATACTGATTCTTCAGTATTAGAAATTATAGGACAATCCAAAGCAAATTATGTGCAAATGTTTTTTCATATTAAATCAACAGTAATAGTGAAGCTATAGTTCAGCTCCTAAAGAAGCAAGCTAAATGTAAAAGATTAAAACATTTTATTGAAGGTTTTGAAAACTTCTTACCCAGAGAAGCACAGGCACAGATATAACAACTCATGTTTTTTTGTTTTTTTTTTTTGCTCTTGGAAAAATTGAACATTCAGTCCTTCTGCAACCAAGGAATAATTATTTCAAACTGAAATAATGTACAGTGCAATAATGTTTGAAATTTAAAAATGACTTTACACTCAAAGTGGCATTTTAACGTGAATATGTTTCACAAATTTGTTGATATAATGTCTGTTATTACAGCACACTTAGCAAAACTTTTATTTGTGATGTTATAACCACTGCAACTCTTCCTGGTTAAACTCCACTTTAATGGTTTTCCAGTTGAATATTTAGGTTATTCTTGCTCTCTCTGAAGCGGTTTGCGTTCTGGAGGTAGCACTGGCTGTAACTTCTGCCAGCGTTGTGGAGGCCAGAGGATATGAGTAGCACGGGCATGTAGAAGTCCAAGAGAAACCTATATCCAAAATATAAACCAGAGAGATTATTAAATTCTGCAAATTAAATAAAATGGGGCAAATACAAAGCAGATGATGATTTGTAAGAGTGATCAGACAATGCAAAGCCAATAATTAAGAACATTTTGATGTATACTGTAAGAGGAAAAGAAAAACTGCTTCAGTGAGATAGTTTTTTCTTAATAAAATGTTTCATGAAACCTAAAACACCAGTGCTGAAGTGTACTAGTTATAAAAGGCACTAACCAGGTATGTTTTTTTCACGTTCAAAAAGAAACAACTGGCCAAAACTGGTGAGGCACTTTAAAATCCACCAAAAGCTTGTGGTGATTACTTACAGCAAAGAGATTATTTATTCTGGGTATGGCAGAGCAACACTCAGTATTCAATTCAAGTATCTATTCTGAAGTTAAACAGAACTAGTGTCTCTCAGATTTCAGGTAGGTATACTAATCACACGAGGATACTGGCTTTTCTTAAACATACTATGCTCTCTATTTATCTCTTTTTTTTTCAAAAATCTGTTTTATCTCCAAGCAAAAATTGAAATGACTGTAAATCATAAATATTTTGTCAGGTTTAAGCTGTATTTCAGGTAGAATTATTTGATGAAATCAACCTACAAATCAAAGATTTTTCTAGTTCTGGGAGCACTTCCACTTCATTCATATCCTTCTCAAACATGCTTTATCATCTTATTATTAATTCATGTTCTTTAACTTCAATAAATTAAAAGTTAATGCTGATATTGCTTACAAATAAATCAGTTATAAGTGCAATGGTTTAGAAAACTGAATGGCTTATAAAATAATAAGAAAATTACAAAAACATTATTTTCAATTATAGTATAGAATGCCCAGCCTAAGAATTTCCTGAGAATAGAACAGTCACATTTTCTGATTGGGATAATAATACAAGCCCTCAGTGTCCATATTTATCACTGAAATGAAGAGAACTGATGTGGAGTTACTCTCACTCAACTTGAAATGTCTGCAGAGTAGACCTCTGCATCTTAAATGATTAGTTTGCAAACCTTTTACAGATAATAGAGAAAAATAATTTTTCCACCAACCGGATACTTCAGTATCCAGAGCCAAGAGAAAACAATGGGGTCAGAAGTCTACAAATTCATGATAGAAAAGTTATAAACAGGACAAAACTATGGTTAGAAGTATTGGAGTGTCTCTATATGTGAAAAGACTAAATGATTGAGATTCTTAAAGAGAAAACGATGGGGTCAGAAGTCTACAAATTCATGAATGGAATTAAGAAAAAATGTATAGGCCTTATTTACATATTACATGATTATTTCTCAAAAGGAAGAATGAGGAAACATCAAATGACATTACCTTGAAGAATTTCAAAGCAAAGAAGAAGGAAATGCTTCTTCATATGGTGCATAATTGCATACATATTACAGGATACCATAAAGACCATAATAGAATAACCAACTGGTTATAACAGTGGAGGTAAAGACCGTCATACATAATCAAACATACAGTAACAGTGTAATCTCTGCACTCCAGATTAGTCTCCTAATCTGGAGATAAATGAGATATGAGAGGAAACACTAAGCGAAAAATTATGTACTTGCTTTATTCTTATGCTCTAAGAATCTGGCATTGGCTGCTGTCTGAGCCAGAAGTTAGATGGACTTCTGGTTTGAACCTGTACATTCCTG